TGATTTTCCCTGGATGGGAAGCTGGAGGCTGTGGCTCATGCAGGCTTTGGTTTGCCTCCTTTTCCAGAAGGTGCTGAGTGGGGTGGTGGCTCTGGGAAGTTGTTCCAGGGGGTCACTTGAAGTAAAACCTGGGTAAGGAAGTTGCTGAAGAGAAGTTCTCGACACCCTGAGAAGTTGTTGATGTCCCTGATACCTGGCAGTGTCCAAGGCCAGGCTGGACAGGGCTGGCAACACCCTGGGACAGTGGGAGGTGTCCCTGCCCATGGCAGAGGTGGCACTGGATGGGATTTGAGGTCCTTCCCAACCCAAACCAGCCTGGGACACTTCCAGGGATGGGGCAGCTGGGATTAAAACCCAGTGAAGAGTTGGAACTCTTTGGAACACCAGGCTGGAGGGTCTGTGATGTGGCTAAGGGGTTAAAATAACCCTGCTGAATCTTTGAGATTAGCTGAGGAGAGATGGATTTGATTTATCCCAACCAACAGGTTACTCAGTGAGTACACAGATTCTGAGCGTGGGGAAGAGCAGATGGAGCAAACCCTGAGTGTAACAGATCAGCAGAGAGCTAAACAACCCTCCTGTGCAAAAATAACCCGTGAGTTCAAGGAACAGGATGGATTTGCTGTGGGGTGATTCGAAGGCTGCCTGGAATGTGTGGCTGCAGGAAACCCCTTCTCCCTGCCCATGGTGCAGCTGTCCCTGTGGCACTGGCAGGGCTGTTCCTGCTCCTTCCACACCTTTCCTTGGAGCAAACCCTCCCTTTGCTGTTGCCTTGGAGGCTGTTCTGGATGCAGACCTGGAGTCAGGTTGGTGTCACCCACGTCTGATTTAACAGCCACAACAGCTGAAGAATTATTCACAATCCCTGGGGCTGGAAAAGCCCTCCCAGCCCACTGAGTCCCAGCTGTGCCACATCCCCACCTTGAGCCCAGAGCTCTGAGTGTCACCTCTGGGTGTTCCTTGGACACCTGCAGGGATGGGGACTCCAAACCACCCTGGGCAGTTCCAGTGCCTGACCTCCCTTTCCAGGAAGGAATTTCAGTGCATTCTTAAACCTCTGCCTTCAGAAATCTTTGTCACTCCTCAGTTTTTCTCTTTCATCCCAAGGTTAATGCCAGAATTCCTCTTCCCTGTGCTCTGTTAGTGTCTGATTTCCAGAGCTGTGGAGGCAGGGGATTGCTGAGGATTCTTTAATGTTTCCCAGCCAGCTCTGTTCTATATGAATGGAAATGGGGTAGGAAGCATCTGTCTCTCTAAGCTGCTCAACACATGAATATGCTCCAGGATTTGCTCTCTACCCTTGGGCACAACCCCTGCAATATCCTCATTTTCCTCTTGCCTTAGTTAGCAGGCAGGCCCTGGGAATCTGGGAATCTGAGAATCTGGCTGCTGTAACAGCAGAGAGGGAAAAGGAGGAATTCCCAGGGGTGTTGTGGCTGTCCTTGGAGCCCACCTGGGCTGAGGAGGGATCCTGCACTCTGTGCCAGGTGCTCCTGCGTGTCTGGGACACCAGTGCTGTATTTAAAATGCCTTTTCTTAGGTACACTGGTTTATTTTTATACCTCGTTTCTACATCCCCTATTTAGCTAAATATGGGCAGGGAAATGTCCTGCTGATAAGGCTGCATAGCCTCATTATTATTTTTCCCCAGAAAGTAGATCACTCCAGTGTCCTAGTTCCTGTGCAGACCTGAATTAGCAGCACTGTCAGTGCCACAAGCCCCCCAAATGCCACATATTTTATGGCAGCTCTTCCATGGAGTGCAGCTCTGGCCCCGGGGAGCAGGGACAGGACAAGGGGAAACAGCTTCCAGCTGTGCCAGGGGCTGGATACTGGGAAAATTCCTTCCCCAAAAAGGCTCTCCAGCCCTGGCACAGCTGCCCAGGGCCATGGTGGAGTCCCCATTGGTGAAGGGATTTAAAATCCCTGTGGAGGTGGCACTTGGGGACATGGTTTGGTGGTGGCCTTGGCAGTGCTGGGGACTCAGAGGACTTTTCCAGCCTCAGTCACTCTGTGCTCATGATGCAGCTTGCTGGGAAATGTAAATATTGTTTTTCCTTCTGATGCTAAATGACATTTTCAGAAGCAGATGATTAACTGTTGATCACTGCACATTGAGGCTCGATGACCTGAAGCCATCAGCTCAGTTGTGAGTTAAAGGAGGATGTGCCTGAAAAATTGGCTCTGTCTGTCTGAGCCCCATTTGTTCCTTGAAGGAGACTGGTCAGTGCAAGGATGAAACTTCTGGAAATGCCTTCCCTGGCTGGTGCTCCTACAGGGTAATGCAGCCAGTTGTGTGCACATCTGGATGATGCTTTGTCTTAAAATAGTCAGGAACTCTGAAAAAAACCTTTTTGATAAGCCTCTTTCATTTAAATATAAACTGTTTTTTTTTTTTTTACTGACCATAATTCATTCAACTGTGACCCTTCACAGGGGGTGAAGAGCTCCAAACTTTTCACCTCTGGATTTCCAAGCTGTGATTCAGGGCCTTTATCTAATCCACCAAGAGCTGCAGTTGCTGCCTGAAGTGTGGTCTGCCTGCAAGCCTGACCTTTCATTGTTCAGAGAATGAAAAAGAAGAGCTTGAACTGAATTAGTTTCCATAATAGACTTGCCTGGAAGGACAGAAACAGCACTATCAGTGGGACACCATTGTTCCCAAGGAATGTGAGGCTGGAGCCTGTAGGTATGTGCTGGCCCTGCAGTGCTGACACAGAATTTCCTGGAGTTCAAGGAGTAGGAGCCTTTGTTTTTTGGGAACAAGAGGATCTGTGTTCTGCCACCCCATGGAAGGCAGCAGGCCTGGGCTGCTGCACTGTGGCCACTTGGGTCACCCTCCTGACCCAGCAGAACAAGTGTCCCTTGTGTCCCTGGGGCTGCAGCTCTGTGTCAGCAGCTCTGCCTTTCCTAAGGACTGGGAGAACTGGGAGAACTGGGAATGCTCACCTGGAAAACCCAGGGAGAGCTCAGAGCCCCTTCAGGATCTAAGGATCTCCTGGAGAGGGACTGGGGACAAAGCCTTTCTGTACATTCCAGCAGCTTTTGTTGGCTCTTGCTGCCAAGGATAACTTCAAAAAGGCTGAAAAGTGAAAAAGTAAAGAATTGGTGATGGGTGTGTGTTGTGCCAACCTCAAGGCTGCAGATGAGTCAGTTCAGGTGCATTTTTTCAGCTTGGTGCCAGGAACGAAATTGAACATAGAGATGCAAATCAGGGAGGGATAACTGGTGATTATTTCTCCCCCGTTTCCAGTTCATAGCTGTGGATATAATGCCTACGTGTGCACTTTGCTGTATTTTTTCCATGTGACCATTATTAAAATGTCACTTTCCCTCCCAAATCCCAGGGCTGGAGGGGGTTTGCCGGGATTAGCAAGGTTTGCTGAGGACAGGGATGTGCTGCAGGACCCTCTGGGAGGGATCAGGAGCAGCACTGAAGTATACATCAGAGATTATGTAAAATCCTAATCTCCATAGGGGAGGCTGGGTGGAGTCAAGCCCAGCACTAAATTCTCTTGCGTCACTTTGTGCTGCTGAGGGTGTAATTAACTCCAGATCTGGGGCAGGGCAGGAGCCAATGTCACACCATGGCTGCCCCAGCCCGGTGCTGGGTGTTACTTTTGACATTTTTTATTTCAGTTTCTGATAAAAGACCCCACAAAATGTCACATCCACGAGCTAAACCCGCATTAGATGATCCCGGTTTATTTCTGGTCTGTTGTGGGGGTTTAGGAACATCTGGGAATTACCAAGCACTGCCCAAACATTGGGTGTGAAGGCCTGGGGTGTGGGGACGTTGTGCTCCAGGATGGTTTGGATGGATGGAGATGAGAGATCTCTGAAGCTGCTCTTAGAATATCTGCTTTATTATAGAGGGTGAAAGGTCCTGCTTGGAGCTGCCAGGCCTTAGGGAGTGGGGAAGGGAGAGGCAAGGGGTAGGGGGAGATAAGGGGAGGGTGGAAGTTCCAAGAGGGCGTCTGGCTCCTCAGGGACCCCTTATCAGGGGGCTTCAAGGTGGGCTGGAACAAGAGTTGGGCCATTGGGGTCACAGACACCTGATGCTTCAGGGGGTTACAGGTGTGGGATGTGCCAGAACCCCTGGCCTGGTTCAGGGGTCTTGTGTGGTGGAAAAGTCTCTCCTCCAACCCGAGCTCCCAAAGAAAATTCAGCATTCTCTTGTTGTCCGGTCTCAAGGCAGTTTATTGCAAGTTATCTAACAGATTTTCTTCTCAGGCTGCTGTGGTTTGCTCAGCAGCTCAGGCAGAGGCACACACCCCCTGACATCCTCTCTGTCTGCTGTCTTCTTCTTCTCTCCCCCTGCCCAGGGCTGTGCTGTCTTTTATATGATACATTACGTGTTATATGTTTACAGATTTTCCCCAATACCTACTACCTATGTTACAAGGTGCTTTTCTACTCTAAACCAATCTGTGAGTGCCAACATCACCAAGAACATGGAGGTGAGGAAGAAGAAGGAGGAAGAACAGGATCAGGCCCACTTTCCTCCATCTTAAAACTTCTGACCCCCATGTACAAAGTACAAAGGTGTTAAAACCCCCCTGTACAATAGTAAAAAAATTTCCCCTCTACTTTGTGACTACTTTTACTATACTATCTAACCTTTTGTGACTGCTTGTTCCACCTTCAAAGTTGGTAACTCATTCCATGGCTCAAACCCAAAATCCCAGCTGTTTCCAGCTGCCTGCCAGGGTCTCAAATGCTTCTGACCAGGGCCTGGAACCTCTAAAAATGTCTGAGGGACATTTTGAGTTCCAACAGGGATGAACCATACATTTGGGGGGGTTGAGATCCAACAGTCCATTTGACCTTTGGACCTCTCTGTAGGTAAGGACATTGTCCAACCAGTAAGAGGGGATTGTTTCCATCCTGGCTGTACTATTGTAAATCTTTTACCAGGCAATCATATTTATTCATCCTCCCCAACAGTGTGGGATCTGAGGTGTCTGATGGAATTCTCTGTGTCTCCCTGGGGGCTCCAGGTGCTCAGGCATGGCTGACCTGGACCACAACCTGAGCCTGGCGGACGCTCTGACGGAGCCGCCGCCCTCCGTGGAGGAGGAGGTGCAGAGGGACTTCATCGCCTCGCTGGAGGCCGACAAGTTCGAGGACGTGGTCGGGGAGACCGTGGACAAGACAGACTACGTGCCCCTGCTGGATGACGAGGACGGTGCCACGCCTGGCAGCCAGGAGCCCAAAAGCAAAGGCCACCTGGACGGAATCCCCGCGGAACGTAAGTGTCCCAAAATCTGCCACCGAGACATCAGGGGAGGCCTGTGCTGGCTGTGACACTGCTGAGGCAGAATTTGTGCTGCTGAGGTCGAGCCCTGCTTGTTGCTTTTTGCCCTTCAGCCTGTGACCACAGGAGAGGCTGTGCTTTCCATTCATATTTGGGGTTGGGTGTTTTTGGGGTTCTCAGAAGAAGCACTGCCCAAATTCTGTGGTGCCATGCTCCACAAGCAGTGTCCCAAAATAGCAGAGCTGTACAAGGTGCCACCAGTCTGGGGGATGGCAGATCCAAGCAAGAAAGGTGGGTGATGGGCTGTTGCTGGTGAGGCTAGAAGATGGGAATCTTCATCATCTCCCAGATGTTTTCCAGCTAAATCCCATGGTTCTGACCCAAGGCTTTATTTACTTGGATTTCTTTTGGCTGTGCTGGTTGTGTGCATGGTACCAAAACGTGCTGCTGTCTCTGCTGCTGCTGCTGAACACTTTTCAGCCCAGCTGGTATTTAGAATCATGGAATCATTAAGTTGGAAAAGATCTTGGAGATCATCAAACACAGCAGCTCCCTCAGCACTGCCAAGGCCACCACTGACCATGTCCCCAAGTGCCACATCCACATGGATGTCACATCCCTCCAGCAGTGAGGACTCCACCATGTCCTGGGCAGCAGTGCCAGGGCTGGAGAGCCCTTTCCAAGAGGAACATTCCCAATTTCCACCCTGACCTCCCCTGGCCCACCCTGAGGCTGTTCCCTCTCCTCCAGTCCCTGTTCCCCAGGCTGTCCCCTCCTGTCAGGAGCTGTGCAGAGCCACAAGGTCCCCCCTGATCCCCCTTTTCTCCAGGCTGAGCCCCTTCCCAGCTCCCTCAGGAATTCTCCAGCCCCTTCCCAGCTCTGTTCCCTTCCCTGGACTCGCTCCAGCCCCTCTGGCTCTGTCCTGGACCTGGGGACCCCAGAACTGCCCCATGAGTTTGAGGTGGAACATCACCAATTTATTCATTTTAAGAGCTTTATCAAAAACTCTGTAGGCAAAGGAGATTTTTGAACAGATGCTTCCTTGTGTGAAAGGGAAAAGAGTGAGATCTGGGGGTCATGCAATGAGTTTCTTTCCCAGTGAACAATTTTTTTGCTTGTGTGCTGTTCCCTCCCTGCCCAAGTGGGAATTGTCACTGGGACCAGCAGTGCCTTGATGATTTTATTTATTTTGTGGCCTTGATCTGTGCTGTGTAGAAGAGGAAAACCTTTGGTAACCTGATAACTTCCTTCAGAAGAAGTTTTCTTTTTTTTGCTTTAATCCTGTTGCTCATCAGTATTGAGGAAGGTGAAATGTGATTCCTCAGAATAAACAGAACCTTCAGGACCACAGCATGAGGAATTCTGGTCTGTTCAAGGCATTTATTTGCTTTGTTTAGAAGTGCATTGGGTGCCTTGTAATACAGAAAACGTAACCTTGAATTTTCCATGCTGACACAGTTATTAAATGGCACCAGGGGAGCAGGAAGCATTGGAATGGGCAAAGGGATTATTATAAAACTTGGAATGTGTGTATTATTTATTTAATTTGTATTTTAGCATTGCAGAAGCAGAGAAACATGAGGACTTGTTAACACCTTGAATATGATTTGAGGATATTTTAAAGCAATCCTTTATTGTAGAAGCTGCAGATCCTAAACCATCTCAGCACCAGGATTTCTCAGTGCTAAAATCATTACACAAAATTGGTGTAAAATACAAGTCCCTTAAGTGTGTCCTGCCAGCTGTGCATCCCTGGACATTGCTATCCCAACTCAATATTCCACATAACTCCAGGATCTTGGGGTGGGGGTAATAACGAGGCCTTTGGGGTTTGCTCAGTAATTAAAACTCTATGAGAGAAAGGCTGGGTCCTGTGGGCAGAGCTCAGGCACAAATACTGGGAGGGGAAGAAGTAGAATTTCAGGAGGAATTCCTTCATGGAAAGGGTTATTAAACATTGGAAGGGGCTGCTCAGGGAGGTTTGGAGTGCCCATCCCTGGAGGTGTCCCAGGAAGGGCTGGAGGTGGCACTCAGAGCTCTGGGGACAAGGTGGGGATTGGCACAGCCTGGACTCAGTGGGCTGGGAGGGCTTTTCCAGCCTCAGTAATTCAGGGATTCTGGGATCTCCTGGCTTTTCCAACCTCAGTAATTCAGGGATTCTGTGATCTCCTGGCTTTTCCAGCCTCAGTAATTCAGGGATTCTGGGATCTCCCCTTTTCCAGCCTCAGTAATTCAGGGATTCTGGGATCTCCCCTTTTCCAACCTCAGTAATTCAGGGATTCTGGGTTTTCCCCTTTTCCAGCCTCAGTAATTCAGACATTCTGGGATCTCCCCTTTTCCAGCCTCAGTAATTCAGGGATTCTGGGATCTCCCCTTTTCCAACCTCAGTAATTCAGGGATTCTGGGATCTCCCCTTTTTCAACCTCAGTAATTCAGGGATTCTGGGATCTCCCCTTTTCCAGCCTCAGTAATTCTGGGATCTCCCCTTTTCCAGCCTCAGTAATTCAGGGATTCTGGGATCTCCCCTTTTCCAGCCTCAGTAATTCAGAGATTCTGGGATCTCCCCTTTTCCAGCCTCAGCAATTCAGAGATTCTGGGTTTTCCCCTTTTCCAGCCTCAGTAATTCAGGGATTCTGGGATCTCCCCTTTTCCAGCCTCAGTAATTCAGGGATTCTGGGATCTCCTGGCTTTTCCAGCCTCAGTAATTCAGGGATTCTGGGATCTCCCCTTTTCCAGCCTCAGTAATTCAGACATTCTGGGATCTCCCCTTTTCCAACCGCAGTAATTCAGGGATTCTGGGATCTCCTGGCTTTTCCAGCCTCAGTAATTCAGGGATTCTGGGATCTCCCCTTTTCCAGCCTCAGTAATTCAGGGATTCTGGGATCTCCTGGCTTTTCCAACCTCAGTAATTCAGGGATTCTGGGATCTCCTGGCTTTTCCAGCCTCAGTAATTCAGGGATTCTGGGATCTCCTGGCTTTTCCAACCCCTCCTCTCCCTCCATCCTGGGGCTGCTTGAGCAGAACTCGTTTCCCTCCTACGTGGCAAGGGGGGGATGCAGTTTCTTCCTCTTGCTTTGGAGATTGTTTTTTCCCTTTTTTGGGAGAGCTGGAGAGCAGTCAGGAGCATGATCTCAATCTTTGGCAAGATGCAAACGAGACCCTGTGTGAGGAGATGGAGAAGTTGCCCTGAGTGGGGCTGTTCAGCTTTCCCACCTCGGGCCAGCAGGGAAGGACTGAAGCTAAAACTGGGTCAGTTACCACAGACCAGGCTTAGGATTTGGTCCTGGAATGTCTTAATTTCTCTCACCTGCTTTCCCTGAAGTGCTGAGGATGCCTGTTGGAACTCTGCTGAGAATTTTGGGCTTTCTGTGCTGCCAGGCACTGACCCCCAGGAGAACACTGCATTGACCTGAGGCTGTGGAGAAGCTTCCAAAATGGAATTATAGAGCTGGGATTGTGGGGGTGGAGTTTGAATGGAAGTGTGTGATATCAGCACTTCAGGGAAAAACAGATACCTGTTTCTTCCATGGAATTTATTTAATATTTGTAACTGTTTAAAAAGATAGTAAAGTGAATGAGCTTCATTTATTGAGGTTCCAGAATAAATGAGCTCTGGGTGAGATTTTTGGCGTTCTAAGTGGGTCTTGGTGTTGTAGTTCCATGTTTGAGTGTGACACCAAGTTTTTGGGGAAGAGCAGAGAGAGTTCCACATCCCTGGCTCTCAACAGCCTGGCTTCCCTGAGGGAGAGGAGCAGCCTGCAGAGCTCAGGCTCTTCAGCCTCCACTTGTTCATTTATTTATGTTAAAAGGCACAAATGCGTTCTGACATCACGGTCTGTGCTCCTGAGATTGTCTTTCCCCAGTCAGAAGAGGTTTAATCCTCCATCCTGTCAGGCTTTAGCTGCTCCAGCTCTGCCCCAGGATTTTATTTCACTTTTTTACTAAACCCAGGAGCCAGATAACTTTGAGCTGGGCCCCAGCATGGGGCTGGGTGAGTACAGAGGGGTGGAGAAGAGCAGCAGAGGGACCTGTGATGAGCAGTCATTTGGTCACCTACAAATCTGTCCTAGAATAAAGCAGTTGTTTGGTCACCTACAAATCTGTCCTAGAATAAAGCTTTAATAATGGTTAACTCCTAAAGTGCCAGGGAGGAATGGGTTTACTCTTCCTCGCACCTGGCTGGACATGGTAATTTGGCAAATTTTGGGATTATCCCCCTATAACAGCAGGGGGTGTGTGCTGCCTGCCTGCAGCTGGCTTTCCTTGGCTGTTCCAAGGCTTTCAGGATCCTCTGGAGCTTCCAGGAAAGTCCTGGAGGCTGCAGCACTTTCATTCAGGTGGTGATGGGGTGAAGGAAGGGATTGCAGGTGGCAGCACGTTCCAAGGGAAAGGAAAACATTGAGGTTTAATATTTGCAGCAGAGCTCCTGGGGAATGTTTCAGCTGAGGTGAGGAGCAGTGTTGTCTCTGCAGTGATGGTTGCTGGTGAGGAATTGTGTTACTGGTGAGGAATTGTGTTCCTGGTGAGGAGCTGAGCACAGACCAAAGGGCAGCCCTGTGCTGACAGGACATGGCCTTCTGCATCCTTGCACTGCTCACAGACTCCTTGGTGAGTTTTAACCTTGAGTACAGGGTTTTTTGGAGGGCATTATCCTGATCTGGGCTGGGATGGAGTTGATTTTCTCCATGGCTGGGGCAGTGCTGTGTTTGGAGTTGGGTGTGAGGATGGTGTTGATGACACACTTGGTAGTTCCTGAGCCCTGCTCACTCTGGATGGAGGATTTTTTGATTTCCCAGGCCACATCCACATGGATGTCACATCCCTCCAGCAATGGGGACTCCACCATGCCCTGGGCAGCTGTGCCAGGGCTGGAGAGCCCTTTTCAGAAGGAACATTCCCAATTTCCACCCTGACCTCCCCTGGCCCAGCCTGAGGCCGTTCCCTCTCCTCCTGTCCCTGTTCCCCAGATTGTCCCCTCCTGCCAGGAGCCGTGCAGAGCCACAAGGTCCCCCCTGATCCCCCTTTTCTCCAGGCTAAGCAATCCCCCTCCCTCTTTTCATTATTATAATTCTATTATTTTATTTCATGTATTGAGCTGTCCTTGAGCCCTGGGGTTCACTGCCCTGCACTCCCCTCCCCAGGGAGGGTGGGTGGCTCTGTGGGCCCCATGGGGTTAAACCCTGCAGGCTCCAGCCCAGCCCCATGGGGTTAAACCCTGCAGGGCTGGAGCCCATCCCCATGGGGTTAAACCCTGCAGGGCTCCAGCCCATCCCCATGGGGTTAAACCCTGCAGGGCTGGATCCCAGCCCCATGGGGTTAAACCCTGCAGGGCTGGATCCCAGCCCCATGGGGTTAAACCCTGCAGGGCTTCAGCCCATCCCCATGGGGTTAAACCCTGCAGGGCTGGATCCCATCCCCATGGGGTTAAACCCTTCAGGGCTGGAGCCCATTTCCATGGGGTTGAACCCTGCAGGGCTGGATCCCAGCCCCATGAGGTTAAACCCTGCAGCTCCAGCCCTGTGCCCAGGAGGGATGGGGTTGGTTTCATTCAGTCAGTCCCACCCTGGGAGCAGAGGTGTCACCACGAGGTGGCTCTGCTGGCACTGCTGCCCTCTGTCCCACAGCTGCAGAGCTGAAATCCCGGGCCAGACCTCGGCTCCTTTTGCTTTTCCCTCCCTTCCCACCCCAGGAATGAGTGCCTTCCTTGCAGCAGGGTTTGCTTTAGCCAGAGGGAATTCAGACACTTGGTCACGTATGAAAGTGGAGATGGAGAATGTTCCACACAGCCCAGAGTTCCAGAGGGATCAAAGATAAATCAGCAAATCATGATATTTGTACTTTTGTTTCAGATGAGACATTAAATCTTTTCCCTCTCAAAGTCTGTCCAGCCCCATTCCTGCCCCCATCACTGAATCCCAGAATCCCTTTCCAGAAAGGACCTGAAATCTCATCCCATTCCACCCCTGCCATGACAGGGACACCTCCCACTGTCCCAGGGTGATCCAAGCCCCGAAGTCCAGCCTGGCCTTGGGCACTGCCAGGAATCCAGGGGCAGCCACAGCTGCTCTAGAATTCCATTACCATCCATCCCAGCCAGGAATTCCCAATTCCCAATCTCCCATCCATCCCTGTCCTCTGGCAGTGGGAGCCATTCCCTGTGTCCTGCCCCTCCATCCTTGTCCCCAGTCCCTCTCCAGCTCTCCTGGTGCCCCTTCAGGTCCTGGCAGGGCTCTGAGCTCTCCCTGGAGCTTCTCCTCTCCAGGGGAACATTCCCAGCTCTCCCAGCCTGGCTCCAGCCCTGGAGCAGCTCCAGGTCCTTGTGCTGTTGGCTCCAGAGCTGGGGCAGCTCTGCAGGTGATTTTGAGGCAGAATATTTAAAGGAATGAATGGAAGGAGATTACACTCCTTGTTTCAGAGTCACCAGCTGGGTCAGGCTCTGTCCATCAGTGGTTTTGCTCACATTTTCCTCTCAATGTCAGCGTGGGATAAAGCCTGCAGGAGGGCTCCTGACCCCCAGAGCCCCCCCAGAGCCCCCCCAGAGCCCCTGGGGACGTGCTGGCCGTGGTGCTGTCCCCTGTGGTCCCCTGGGATTAGGGGCTGCTGGTGGCACTGCCCATTTGCTCCAGATTATCGGTTTAGCCAGCGCTGCCTTAAATTTGTTTATATAAAAACAATCCTTTGATCCACCAGGCAGATGCAAATACTATCTTGTGATTCTGATGAGGATTAGGTAGTTACAACATCTTGACATGGTTTTGGGTTTATGCAATTTACAGTATGAGGGGAGGAGCCCTGGCCCTGGGCAGGTTGCTGGGTGCTTTCACACTGGGGCTTCAGCAAACCAAACTCAGATTGATTTGCTCCAAAGGCACTGACCTTCAGACACTTAAAAATAACAACCACTCGTGCTGGCTGGGTTGGTGTGATTTGACCTGATTTTTCTGGAAGCTTGTCTTCCCAAAAAGCTGAAACTGTAAAGGGAACCATTTCACCTGTTCTCTGTCCTTCCCAAGGAGAGCTATGGCATTTCTGATCCTTCTGCTCCTGTGGGAACCCTCTTTGGAGGGGTTTAATGCATCAATAACGGTGGTGGCATCAGAGTCACAGAGTCACTGAGGCTGGAAAAGCCCTCCAAGACCACCCAGTCCCAGCTGTACCCCAGCCCAGAGCACTGAGTGCCACCTCCAGCCCTTCCTGGGACACCTCCAGGGACTTCAAACCCCCCTGGATAGTCCCTTCTAAGGCCTGAGCACCTTTTCCATGGAGAAATTCCTCCAGACTGAAACATCCCAGCAGCTCAGTTGCCTGTGCAAGGTGTGAGGAGAAGCTGTGAGAGAAATGAAAGCAGGATGTGATCACAGAGGGAATCCTGGGGCTGTCCTCTGCAGGGCCAGGAGCTGGGCTGGGGTGGTCCTTGTGGGTTCCTTCCCACTCGGGAGGTTCCATGATTCTGCAGGATTTAAGGAAATGTGTAGCTCCTGCAGCTGGGCTGAGCTCCAGCACGGAATTCCTCAGGGCCTCACTGCAGGACCCTCATACTCCTGGTGTGCCTTTGGGCAGCTGTGAGTCAGGGCTGTTTAAACCACACCAACCCCGATTTCAGGGGATCCAGGAGCTGCCAGGACCTGCCCCAGGCTCTGCTGCAGACCATTCCCCCACTGCAGTGCACAGCAGCCCTTGCAGAGCCTGGCAGCTCTGGGAGTGCTGGGGAGCAGCTCCAGGGATCCCTGTGCTGCTCCCAGCTCCTCCTGGAGGGTGGAGGGGTGTGTTCCTCTATAAACTGGCAAGTTTGTGGGGAATTTTTGTAGATGACCAGGATGAGCCACTGATGGAGCTGGAAACTGTGGGAATACAGGGCTTCGCTCTGGCTGCCCTCTGGCAGGTCTGGGACCCTGGCAGGGGTCAGGAACCCCCCTGGACAGAGCCCCCAGAGACACTGGCTGTGATCTCTGTCCATGGAAAAGAGTTTTCAATCTTACAGGATGAATTACAAGCTCTGAGTGTTTGATAAGAGTAATAATTAAGTGTGACACGGGTGCAAGAGTAAAATTTTAGATTTCTAGATTAGGGGTTCAGAGGGGACAAGATGGAGGAATTGGGTGTGCCTTGTCCTTTTTCTCCTTCTTCATGCCCTCCATGTTTCACTGTGGTGTTGGCATTTTTCTGTTGGTTCAGGCTGGGGACACACTGTCCAACGTAGGTGACAGATATTGGCACGTTATTGTAAATCCAGCACAGGTAGTTTGTGGTATTTAATGTTTGTACCATCCCACTGAGGGCAGAGCCCCACACGCTGCCCTGCAGGACAGAGCTGCAGCAGGGCAGCAGAACATGTTAGAGATAAACAGAATAAACAACCTTGAAACAGCACAGACCAATTATGGCTTCTGCTTTGGCAGCGGGGCTGACAGACAGAGACTTTCCACAATCTGGGAATCACCAATACCCACAGATTCCGACAGAAACTTTTCCTTTTGCTTTACTGAGGGCTGGGTTCAGCCCTGCTGTGTCTGAAGGACCCTGGTAACGTGGCTCTGTTATAAAACTGGGGCTCAGGAGGGGTCAGCAGCAGCTCCAGGTGACCGAGTGTGTGTCTCCTTGGGAGAAACCTTTACTATTTATAAAATGAGCATTTCCTCACTGTCAGCAGAGCTGAGGGCCCAGGGAGGAGCTGGTGCTGCTTGTTCTGCTTCCCTAAAACTGCTCAGGGTCATAAAGTCACAGAATTCAGACTGGTTTGGGGTGGAGGAACGTTCAGGAACACCCAGTGCCACTCCTGACATGGCAGGGACACCTCCCACTGTCCCAGGGTGATCCAAGCTCCAATGTCCAACCTGGCCTTGGGCACTGCCAGGGATCCAGGGGCAGCCCCAGCTGCTCTGGGCACCTGTGCCAGGGCCTCCAACCCTCATTGTATAAAACTTCTTCTTTTCTATCATCTAAATGGACCCTCCTACAGCTTCCAGCTGTTCCCCCTTGCCACTGCTGCCAGATTTCCCAAGTTCAGTGTGTAAATCATGGTGCTGGTTAAAATTTTAGCTGTCAATGTCAGAACAAGATGAACTCAACCTCACAGTGATAAGGATTTTCTGTGCTGGTTTTGGAATTGGTGATCTTCCACCCTGACCACGCTCCTCTAAAGCTCCCCTGATCCCTGCTTTAGCAATATGTGGTGTTTCAGGAGGAATTTCCCCATGGAAAGGATGCTCAGGCCTTGTCAGGGGCTGCTCAGGGAATTTGGAGTGCCCATCCCTGGAGGTGTCCCAGGAATTCCTGGAGGTGGCACTCAGGGCTGGGGACAAGGTGGGGATCAGGCACAGCCTGGATGTGATCCAGAGGGCTTTTCCAGCCTCAGGGATCCTGGGATTCTGTGAGTGTGCTCAAGGCTGGGGTTGATGATTTCTTCTGTTGACAAGGTGGGGATCCATCAAAGCCTGGGCTCAGTGTTGGAGTTCTTTTCCAACCTCAGTCATTGTACAGTTCCACAGTGCTGTTTTCAAGGTCTGGGTTGGGATGAGTTCCATGCAGTTTTAACCCTGGGTTGGTTCTTTGCAGACTCTTCAGCCTCGGGGCCGATGGTGGTGGAGAACGGCGACCACGGGCTGCAGGGCCACCACAGAGGTACGTGCCACACCACTGCTCTGCAGTCCTCACTCCTCCCAGGGGCTGGGCTTGGCTTTAGAGACCTTCCAAGGACTTGGCAGCAAAACAGAGCTTCAGTTTCTTTGGAGTTGAAAGGGTTTCTCTGGATAAAAGCTTGTTCTGGAGGCGTGCTGTTCTCTATCCATGGGCAGTGCTGGCAAGGCAGCTGATAAAAATGGCTTTGGAGAGAGCCCCTAATGCCCACAGGTGAACTGTGCCCTGTCCTGTGCCTTCCCCTGTGCCCCACAGTGCTGTTCTCCCACGTCCCCCACCCTTTGGAGCAGTTTTTATTCCCTGCCATGACCCAACTGTGTCCTTCACCCCAACCATGGACATGTCCCCACACCTGCCCCAGCAGTGGCACAGGTGACACTGAACCTCTGGGACCTTTTTCCATAGCATCAGGGTAGTTTTGACTGCCAGAAGCTTGTGATGGAACTGGGTGAATATTTCAGAACCTGGAAAAGAGGGGGCCTTTCCAACCAGGCTGAAGTGCTGAGGTTGGTAGGTCCTTTCTTAGGGAGCTCTGGGAATTGGGGTTCCTGCCAAACCCCAGCCCATCTGTCCCCTTCTGTCACCAGCCTCTGGCTGTGGGACCTCTCTGTCCTTGGGGATGGAATATTCCAGAGCCAGTTGTCACCCTGTCACCATGGGTGACATCCTTGGTCTCCCTGGTGATGATCCCAGCTGGGTGCTCCCAGTGTTGTCCCCCCTAATCCAGAGGTGCAGCCCCAAGTTAAAAACCACTCCAGGAAATAATGATGGACATTTGGGAGATGGGGGTGAATTAAAACACCTCTTTGCTCTAATTCTCTTTAGGATTTTAGAGTTTGGTTTAGTGTGAGTGAATTTCATGTCCTCAATGAGGATGGGAATAGAAAAATTGATCTTTGTGCTTCATTTGCCACTGGAAATCCAGTCTAAAGGAAATTGTGCATCTTTTATAATTCAGTATAAACTGAAATTAAGAGCACTTCTGAACCTTCCTAAGGATGTTTCCCCCCTATTATTTAATACTTCTAACTAAAGAAGATAGAAATGCAATTAGATTTATGGTCTGAATAATTAAAGGCATCAGGATTTTTGTATTGAACTTCTGGCTTGTGTTTAAAAAATTCTTTGTTATTTGCCTCACTCTTGCTTTGTGGAGGTTTAACTCTTCACACTAATTGTTAACAACTTTGATCAAAGATACTTTTATGTGTCTGGAGCTTTTTAATTTATTAATACATTCCCTCTTTGTGGGGTAGAGTTGATTTTTTTTTTTCTCTCTTGTTCAAGTCTGTCTAAAAGTGCCATCAAAGTGGCAGAGCAGTGTGTCAGGAAGATGAGCTGTGGCCATCAAATTAATTAGGTTTGCCAGAGTAAGAGAAGATTTCCATGGCACAATTCCTTCATGGCCCCTTTCCCTGCCCCCTTCCTCGTGGAATGTTTGCAGTATCCCTGGTTCTCCATGGGGGAGAAGGGAGAAATGCTGAATTTCCACCAGGCACTGGAGGGCTTCAGACCCACCTGCACCAGGGGATGGCCTTGAGCAGGGCCTGCTTCCACATTTCAGAGGTGCTGCTGCCCAAATCCGGGTCCCTGGCTCTAAACCACCTCTGCTTTGGGGGTTTTGTCTTCAGCAGGATCCATTCCCTGTGTCTGAAAGCTGAAATGGTTCTTGGGGATGTGGGATGTGTGCAGAGAAATGGAGCAGGCAGAGAGGCCTGAGGAAGGTGATGCTCAGGCAAACCAGCTTTCTGCTACAAAAACCAGTGTTCAAAGCTGCAGAGAGAGCTTTAAAAAGCAGAGCTGGGTTTAAATTGATTCTGAAACAGACTCCAAGGAAAAGGGCCAGTTCAGCTATTTGCACATCCAAATGTGGATCTCTCTGGGCTGGAGCTCAGGAAGCACTGCTGGATGTTTTCCTTCACTCATCACATCAAACAAGGTGATGATTGACCTTGTTTTATTCGGTGCAGCATCCCCTGCAGCCGTGTGGGGTGTGTCTGCAGGGCTGGCATCAGCCAGGCTGAGCTCCTGGCACTCCTTGGCACTCCCAGACACCCTCAGTGCCGCAGCTGGCAGGGACCCAAACCCCATCAAGTGCTGGATTCTTTTCCCTTGGCAGTGCTGTGTTCCAAGCCCTGCTCAGGGCTGTGCTTAGGCCAGGCTTTAGGCCAGGCTTTAGGCCAGGCTTTGGGCAGGGAGCCCCTGGCAGGGCTGAGCCCGACGTGACCATCACTGCCTGGCCCTGTGGGGTTTGTTTTTGGGAGCTGCAGAGGGGAGCTCTGGGTGCTGGGCACATCCCCTGGAATCCTGCTGCTGATCCTGTTCTTCCTTAAAAGGAGAAATGGAGAGGCTGGAGCAGCGTTCCTGGGGATGCAGGGCTGGGAACAGGGAATTCAGTGGTGCTCTGGAATCCCTGCTGGGGGAGGCAGCTCACTGCTCACCTCCACCAGGAAAAGGTCAGGGAGGGTTTAGTCAAACCAACAGCAGGTTTAGAACCAAAAATTCATGTGTCATTTGCAAATTGCAACTCTTTATTGCAGGATATTTGCCTAGAGTTCAAAGGAAATATGTCTTTAAAAATAAAACCCAACCAAATTTCTGGAAAGAAATCCACCAAGGATGATCAGATGGTTGGTCTGGATATGCCTCTTGCCCAAGGTGTGTCCATGCTCTTGCTGGCAGGTGAGAAGCTCCCTAGGGAAGTATTCCTGCTGGGTGCTCATACTTCCCCTAGCTGGGCTTTGCCTCCAGCCAGCTGCTGGCAATTCTGTCACCACCAGTGGCTCACAGAAATTCTGTTTTCAGTGCAAATGGCGCTGCTGAGGTGCTGCTGCCCTGTGCCTGTCCCTGGTGGTGGGCTGGCCCTGCCCGTGGTGGCTCCGTGTGTGACAAGTGCCAGCCCTGGGAGCAGCCCCGTGTGTGTGTCTGTCACTTGGCTTTTGGCAAATCTCCTGGCTGCCCTAATGAGGTGTTGGGTGTTGTGCAGTGCTGCTCCATGGTGATGTTTACTAATGACTTGCGCTTTCTTGCCCCTTTCCCCATCCCCTTTCCCTCTCCTACTTCTTTTCCTCTCTTCTATTTTCTCCTCCTAGAAGCCTAGACTGTCTCCTAACACTGGGGCTGCCACTGACACGAGACCAGTGTCCTTTTCTACTGCCATTACACTTCTAAAATCTGCAGCATTTTACAGAGCTCTTGCTTTACCTCCTTGGACTTGGCTGTAGAAGAACCAAAGGGTGGCTCCATCCTGCTCCTCCTCCCTGTGCTCTGCAGTGCTTGTTGAAACCTTCCTCTCTCTGTGTAAGCACAAAAGTGCACCCTGCTTTGGAACTGCACTGTGCCTCTGGTTTGAAATCACGACCACAGCTCCATTTTTGGTTTGATCACCTTTAAATTTAATTTCTCTCCGTTTTCATGGTGCTCGATAAGAGAAGGTTTGAAATTTCCAGTTGTGCTTCCATAGTGGATGGGTCCACCATGACTGCAGCTCCCTTCCCTTCTCCCCACACTCACCACAGCCTTTTAGAGTACCTGCCTTGCTCCTTGCTGCTTTGAAACCCTCTCACCTGAGGGTCTGGTCTGTAACAGTGTTGTTTTCTTCCAAATGGGTGGCTTCAGATCATTTCAGCACTTTGTAGACTTGAGAAACAGATCAGGGAAAACCAAGTGTCCTGAGGTCCAGGTGGATCAGCTCTGGTGTCTGAGGGGTGCATTTTGGGGTCCAAGCCTTTGCCATAACTGGGAGTATGAAGGAAAACAGCCAACCCCAAATTCCTGCCTTAGGGAGTGGCTTTGGTGTCATACTCCTTCCCAAAAACTGTAGAAGTAAGGAAGGAAATTGCCTTTTTTAGACTTCATTCCTCTGGTGAGGAATGACAGCCTTGGATGGAATTTTACCTGCCATGAGAAATAATCTGTCCCTGCTAAAACTGAGGGAAACAAAAGCACTGAGTTTTGTGAAATTGTGCTGAAATAATCCTGACAATTTCCAGCAGCAGCAGAAGGAGCAGGCCTGGTTTAACCTAAACCAGAGCTACAGGAGCATGTCCAGTGGGATTCCAATGGCTCCACAGAGGTGCAAAGCTTTCCAAAGGCAAAAGTGCTCATTTTTCCATCATAGCTGAAACAAAGCATGAAAGGAGGAGATAATTAAAGAGGGAAAGCAGGGTTTTACCTGAGATAGACTCAGCCTGGCTTTGGGAGGCGAGGGACTGTTTTGGGTGAGGAGAATCCTGTGCTGGAGCTCGGGGTACTTGGCCTGCAACACCACATGGAAGGGATTTATTGAACCCAAATGCAGCCTGAGGCTGAACTGCCCAAAACAAGAGCCGAGAGCTTCGCTTACCTAAAAATGGCATTTCCTTGTCGTGAGGGGAGTGACAGGTCCCCACTGCAGCCCGGATTTAGGGGATGTCCCAGCTGGAATGAGCACTGTGCCAGTGCCAGCAGAGCAGTTTTGGGCATCTCCCCCAGGCAGAGGCAGCCTTGCTGTGCTGTCTGTCCCAGTGAGACCTCAGATGCTCCCGGGTGGGTGGCAGTGCCAGCGCTGAGTCACAGCCTGGGCACCGCACTGGGGCAGGACCTGGCGCTTTTCTCCTCGTTTTGGTGCCAATTTACCCCTCTGTGCCCCCCCTGAGGCCTCCTTAGGAGCTGATGTCCCTGTGGTGCCAGTTCCCAGCAGCTGACCCCAGGGCTGCTCCTCCTGGTGTTGTTGTTTCTGGGAAAACTCCAGCTCCTGGAGGCTCCCAGGGCCCAAACTGGGCTCTTCCCTCCCAGCCCATCAGCTTCACAGCATCCTGCAAGCTGGGAAAGACCTGAGGTCACTTCCAACCTGTGAGTCCTTCATGTTCTGCTTTCCTTTGGGTTTTTGGTGTCTGTGGCCATAAAAGGAGATTCTTGCCTTCTTGGCTTTCTTTTCAAAGACCTTTTCATAGCTATATATTTTTTTTTTTTAATGTGATTTTGAAGCAAGGCAGCATCAGTTT